CCCCCCCCCGCTGCTGCCGCCTCTTGGGGGCCGCAGCAGCAAGTTGAATTGGCAAATAATTAATTTTTAAGTTAATTAATTTAATTAAAAATAAATAAATAAATAAAAGGTTTGGTGTGCTTTTTATTTCCCAGATCTTACTGCTCTTCTCGAGACCCGAGCCCGCGCGCCCAGGCTGCCCCCAATCCGCAAACCCAAAACCCTAAACCCTAAACCCTAAACCATAAACCCTAAACCCTCGGTCTTCTGCAGTTCAAAATGGCTTCTGAGGAAGGCCCCAAGGATATTGTGTGCAGGGCCGCCGTGGCCTTTGCCCCAGAAGAGCCTCTGAAGGTACTTTTATGAAAACAAATAAATAGAAAAATAAAACACAAGTAAGAGGAATAAAGATCTAACAAGAAGATAGAAACAAAAAAGGGAGAATAAGGAAATAAATAAGACATAATAAACAGATGAAAAAGTGGCCAAGAGGCCCTCGATGAACCCTAAACCCTCGCTAAACCCTAAACTCTCGCTAAGCCCTAAGCCTTCCCCAAACCCCAAACCCTCCCCAAACTCCAAACCCTCAGCAAACCCTAAACCCTCCACAAACCCCAAACTCTCCCCAACCCCTTCCCAAACAAAACAACCCCTCCCCAAACGCCACCCCTCCCCAACCCTCGCCAAACCCCAAACCCTAAACCCTAAACCCTAAACCCTCGTTTGTGGTGCAGGTGTGCACGGTGATAGTGGCTCCCCCCAAGGCCGGCGAAGTTCGCGTCAAAGTTCTTTACTCAGCGCCTTGCCACACTGACGAGGTAACTTCAGCACTCTTTGTGAATGCCACTTCTAGCATCTTTTAACAACTTTCTAGCATCTCTTAACTCCATTTTAGCGTCTGTTGGCATCTTTTAGCACCTTTTTAGCGGCGGGTTTGGCCGTTTCTGAGTGCCCTGCCGGGGCGGGGTCGCTGCGAGCGCGTCGTCGCAAACCCTAAAAAAGGGTTTAGCGGCGGCGCGAGGGTTTGGCTTTGCAGTTCACGCGCAGCGGCAAAGACCCCGAGGGCCAGTTCCCCTGCGTGCTGGGCCACGAGGCCGCGGGGGTGGTGGAGGCGGTGGGGGAGGGTGTGGAGCTGTGCAGTCCTGGGG